CAGGGAGTGCTCCTTGGAGGGGAAGGGGTTAGCAAAGGAGGAAGTTTGGTTGCTGTGGGCATCTTGATCTAAAATCAGGATTGCAGGATTTGGAGATGTTTAAGATCTCAGGCATCTCCAGGGATCCAGGAATGATTTCCCAGAGGATAAGGAGGATTGCTGGGGATTGTGACAGGATGATCATTGCTCTCATCTCGGCATATACCACTTTTACTGTGACAGCAATAGAATGTCTTCCTGGGGCCACTCTGACCTTCCAATGCCCTTCCCAGGTCAGAGTCCTGCAACAGTGTGGAGGTTAACTTGTCAATCACTTCACTGGAGGACTGTGGTTGGTATGACAGAGACCTGTTCCTTTTGGGCCTCACACTCATCCAGGGGCCTGGGTGAGAAGGAGTGGGGAGGGAATGTCCAATGGGTACCCTTGGAGAAAGAACTTTGCTGAGTGAGCCTCTCCCCCCAAGGCCCTGTCTGTGTGAAATCAAGGCATATGTTTTCTAAAAATTAAAAAGTTTGTGTGTGCATGTGGTATGCATGCGTGCGTGCGTGTGTGTGTGTGTGTGTGTGTGTGTGTGTGTACACTTGCAAGTGTGCATATGTATGGATGCCAGAGGTCAGTGATGAGTGTCTTCCCTTTTCTCCCTCCCCACTTTGCTTTTTGAGACTGTCTTGCACTGATGCAGCTAGAATGACTGGCCAGCAGGCCCCAGGGAGCTTCCTGTCTTCTCTTCCTCAGAGCTGGGACTCCAGGCATGTGTGGCTGTACCCAGATTCCTAGGTGGGTCCTGGGGTTCAAACTCAGGTCCTCGTGCTTGGGAAGCAAGCAAAGCTGGCCAAGCCCCCAGCTTCCTGAGCATGTGTCCTCCAGTCTCAGGATAATGCTTGCTTTGCACATGGCTGCCTCTGTGATTGTGTTCCTGTTCTCTTCCCTACCCTTCCCACCTAGTGTTCCATTTTGAAGGTACACCGGGTGTCTGTTTTCCAGGCTGCAGGGTCCATCAAGGAGTGTGCCTCTTAGGCTACAGGCAGGGAAGAAAGGAGCTGTGGCCACCTGGGTCTGAATGACAAGGGGCAGCCACGGGAAGCCAACAAGAGCTTTGACAGGAGGAGGGAGAGTGGGGGAACAGGGATTGTGGCCATGCGGAAAGCAGAGCTCCCACAGTATCCCAGAGGGAAGGCGGAAAGCAGAGCTCCTACAGTATCCCAGAGGGAAGGAGGGAAACAAGCGAGGAGCAGACACCCCAACTTCTCTGTCTCTCCCTTTGACTGGACAGGAAGCTAGAGAACCAAGATGGAGTCACAGCAGAGTACAGCCTGGGGATGGATAGCCGGACAGCAACTCCCACAGTGACGCCACCAACCACCAACCACCTGCAGGCCAACCCAGTGCTCTCTGGGTGTGGAGTGTGTGTCAGCTGCATGTGGTGCCCTGTAGTGTGATGGCTTTAGAACATACTAGATGGAGATGTCCTCACATGATGCTGCTTTAGCACACATCCTTTCTGCACCTCAGCTATGGAGAGCAGGAGGCCCTGGCTAGGCGTGGTTGAGACCTTACTCTGGGTTACTTCATCTGTTCATGTTAAGAGACAATAGGGGAGGCTTGCAAAGGCCCCTGAGGGCCTGTGGGGTTCACTGGAGGCTGCTTGGTCTTCCCCTAACCACTCTCCCCTTCTGGAGGGGTGAGTGTTGTATTTAACAAAATCTCAGTCGTTCAACTCTACCAATAAAGTCTCGGGAGCGAGATGCTGGGGGTGAAAGCCTGCTCGCTCTGAGAGCCAGAGAAAGCCCCAGCTTCCTTCCTTCTCACCTATGACCCTGAGACCTCCAGCCTTCCGTAAGCTATCTCAAACTGAACTCCTCCCTTCTACTTCCTGTGTGTCTCTCTATCTGACCTCCTGACTCCCTATTACTATGTATGTTTTTTCTTAATAATAACTCCTGATTATTATTACTTTTTCTTAATAATCACTGAATAATTCACTTGCTCTGCCTCTTGACCAATGGTTGACTTTATTATTCTGTTTACAATATTCAAACAGAAAGCTCTTGGATTAGAGGTGTGTGCTAGGGCTGAGCCACACCACAACTAGAAATGGGTTTTTGCAATAAATAATGCAATCTCGGATTTGAAATATCCCAGAGCAGGTGAGGGCTTAGTCCATTGGAGTGAGCCCCAGGGCTCTAAAGATCCCTCATATTCTATACCTAGCATGGGCACAGGCTCCCTCTTCCGATGTCAATTTTTTGTTTGTTTTTTGTTTTTGTTTGTTTTTGTTTTTTCGAGACAGGGTTTCTCTGTATTGCTTTGGAGCCTGCCCTGGGACTAGTTCTTGTAGACCAGGCTGCTTTCGAACTTACAGAGATCTGCCTGCTTCTGCCTCCTGAGTGCTGGGATTAAAGGCGTGCACCACCAACAATGTCATTTTTATGGTGTGGTTCTGGCTTCCCAAACCCTTTCTAGTCTAAATAGGACTTCATATCCCCCAGTATATCCATGGGCCTCCTCTTGTAGGCTTCCAGAACCTTTCCTCCTTTCCCTGCCTGACCAGATTCTGCCTGTCCACACACTTCATGGACTTGATCTTCACAGCAAGCCCACCCATCTTCCTGGTCCACCCCACACTTCCTGTCCTCTCTGTCCTTGTGCTGCACTCAACACAGCGTGTCCACAGGTCATTGTCAGGCCCCTGGGCTGCCAGGCATACCACACATCTCCCACTTGGCAGATCCTGCCCTGCTTTCACTACTCTTTTGCTTGCTTACCTGTTGCCAGTCCCCCATCCTCCCTTCCATCTGAGTTCCTCTCGGTCTCCCCTGCTCCTGCCTCAAGCCTGTGCACTTGCTGTCCCCAGCCCAGAGCTCTTTGCCTTCTCAAAGCATATAGTCTCAGTCAGATGCCACCTCCTGTAAGATGATGCCTTTCCAGAGTTCCCAGGATAGCAGGCTTCCCAACCTGACCCTTCCTAGTTTCTCTCTTTATTTACTGTTTTACAGAGCCACAAGTGCCTGGAACAGGTGGGCATGTACCATTTACCCCTAGGGCCATCAGCTCCAGGAGGCCAGCCAGCTGGCCCATCTTACTGGCTGACAAAGCACCAGTCCCTGGACGGACCTAGCACAGATTTCTACCAGCTGGTAGCTGCAGCTGGTGGTGACCACCTGCATTATTCCATTGCTGCCTCCAGGACTCTGGCCATGCGGACATACTAACCCTGCCTGGGCTGGGTGGGAGCTGGGCAGCCCACGCATGTCCATTCTCCAGAAAGCTCAACACTCTCTCTGCTCCTCTTCGTCACCCAGACCTTTAAGAAGTTACCATCCATCTTCTTCATGTTTAAAGTGAACACTGGGAGTGGTGGTATAGACCTGTTTTCCTAGTAGTTGGGAGGCTAAGGAAGGAGGATTCTCTTGCATTTAAGGGCAGCTGCTACTACATGAGACCTGTCTTTAAACAAACAAATAATATCTTCCCCTAAAACAAACCGACAAATACTGAGAATCAGGGACTATGTTATATTTTCTAAAAGACATAAAACAGGGCTGGGCTTGCCCAGTCAGTGAGGCAGGCACCAGGACCTGGGATCAATCCCCAGAACCCATGTTAAATCTTGGAGCTCACTGGCCAGCAAGTCTAACCTAATTGTCCAGATCCAGGCCAGTGAGGGACCCTGTCTCAAAAGAGGTGGACAGTGTTTCTGAGGATGAAATCTTAGACTGTTCTTTGATGTCACACACATGCACATAGGCACACTCACACATATATACATATGCACATATGTGCTGCCCAGGAACATACGCATCCATACCCACACATGCACATGTGCACACACACACACACACACACACACACACACACACACACACACACACCAAGAGGTCCCATCAGAATTGATGGTGTGAGAGTCCCTGTTCATGACTTCAGGGGAGTCTGCTGTGAAGGGACTGGCCTGATGCCAAGTCACTGTGCCTGTGGGGATCTGTAACTTTTGCAGGAGTGAGGATTGGTGGAAAGATGACATTTGAGTGGCTGTGGAAGAGAGCATGGAGCAGGAAGAGGTGGCTCCTGGGAGCACTCATGATTGATTGGGGGGTGGTGTGACTTCACCAGTGCTGGGCATGGTGTAGGTACTGGCCTCTTCTTGCTGGTGTTGGAAGCCAGACAGTGTGGAGGTGGCTCCTGGATCACTGTGGCATCCCAGGGAAAGACAGGGAGGCATGATGAGGAGATGGCTGATCTGGGCATGAGACAAGGCAGGTGGAAGGTGTGGCTTGGTACAGCAGAGCAGAGGAGAGCTGATCTTGGAGAGGGACAGGACATCAAGGTACTGTGAGGAGGTGGCAGGAATGTCCCAGGTTGACCTTGAAGTTCCAGGGTCTCATGGGATAGATGGTCTTGAGCTCTGGAGTTTGAGAGCTGAGGGTACACAGGATTAGATGGCTGTGCCAAAGCCTGGAGGGGGCCTGTTCCTGCCCTGTGCCCCTCACCACACCCCCTGGCTTGTAGCCATGACTGGGAACCCAGCCAAATGTTTGGAGGAGGAAAATTGTTCTGGTGGCCATATGCAGACGTGGGCATGGGAGTATATGTGCAGGATTACCGATGGGTTTGTCTGGGTGACTGGGCAGGGTGAAGCCACAGTGCTGGACTGGAGTGAACATGTACTTATGTATACTTGCTTGCCTTTACCTTAGTATATGTGTGTGTGACTGTAGATAGCACATTGGGCTCAAGTCATCTTGAGCAAGCAGATGTGGGGCCACACTGCTGACCTACGTCAGCATCTGTGGCACCTGAGTGACACATGCTCATGTGCTTTTATCTTCCCTGCATGTGGCTGTGTGTGAGAGAAAACAGGCCTGAAGGATGCATGGGTGTGGGTAGAGGGCCATGCCTGGAGGTGAAGCTGGCTGTGTATGGTGTGCATACATGCAGGAGTGTGCACCTCATCTCTCTGTGAGTTCTTGGTGTGACAGGCTTCCTTTCTATCCTTCCAGGGCCTCTCAAAACATGATGCTGATCCAGGAGTCTGTGGGAGCATGGCTGGCGTTAGTCCTGGTCACAGCCCTGACTGTAAGCCCAGGCATGGCAGTCCCGTGGCAGGACTGCACAGGTGCAGAGTGTCCGCTACTGGAGAACTGCATAGAAGAGGCGCTGGAGCCAGGAGCCTGCTGCGCCACCTGTGTGCAGCAGGGCTGTGCCTGTGAAGGCTACCAGTACTACGACTGTGTCCAGGGAGGTTTTGTGGATGGCCGTGTACCAGCCGGTCAGTCCTACTTTGTGGACTTCGGTAGCACCGAGTGCTCCTGCCCACCAGGTGGTGGCAAGATTAGCTGTCAGTTTATGCTGTGCCCTGAGCTGCCACCCAACTGCATTGAGGCTGTGGTGGTAGCTGACAGCTGTCCTCAGTGTGGCCAGGTGGGCTGTGTCCACTCTGGCCGTAAGTATGCAGCTGGCCACACCTTCCACCTCTCACCATGCCGGGCCTGCCACTGTCCTGATGCTGGCGGTGAGCTCATTTGCTACCAGCTCCCTGGTTGCCATGGGAACTTCTCAGATGCAGAGGAGAGTGACTCTGAGCGACAGTATGAAGACCCCTACAGCTATGACCAGGAGGTGGCTGAGGCAGAAACCACCATGGCCACAGTGAATGAGGTCCAGGCAGGTGCAGAGGGCCCCCCAGCTGCACTAGAAGGTGGGAATCTGCCACCATCCTCTATTCGAGCAACTCCCTGGCCAGCTGCCCTTCCCAGACCCACAGCAGCTGCTGCCCTTGGTCCCCCAGCACCCATGCAGGCCAAAGCCAGGAGAGTGACACAGGACATTGATGAGGAGGAGGACGATGAAGTGGAGGAGATGGTCACTGAGCCACCAGCAGCAGGTGACCCTGGGAGGCTGGACAGCTTACCTACAACATCCCCAGCTCTATCTGACCTCTCTGTCCAGGAGAAGGAGGCTGAAGCCAAGGCAGGACCAGAGGAGAACCTTATTCCTGATGTCCAGGCCACTCCTCCCAGTGATGAGCAGGAGGGTGCTGCATTCCTGCCTAGGTCAGGCCCCGCCGGTCTCATTCCATCCCTGGCCACAGACAGCTCTCCTGAGGACCCAGTGAAGTCCAGCAGTCACTCCACCCAATCCCCACTGCCACCTGACAGAGCCCAGGTCTCACCCTCCCCAGAGGTGCCTAAAGAAATACCCCAGCATCCGCAGTGGCGACCTCGGTCCCGGGCAGAAGAGGACACAGACCCCAACTCAGTACATTCTGTCTCTAGAGGTGGTCCTGATGGTAAGTCCCTTTCCTGTGTCCCTGCAGGGCCACTGAGCCTGGAAGGAACTGTCACTGCCTACAGGTTCCTCACAGCTGCCATCTCTCAGGCCTGAGACCAAGTGGTATGGGTTGGTAGAGGGTCCCATTTGCTTTTTTGCAGGCCTAAGACCGAATGACACTGGCCAGGGGAATTCTCAGCAGATGCTCTCATAGGCCCAAGGAGAGAGGGACAGGGAGGTCCTGTTCTAGGAAGTATAGGGCCTCTGGTGGACTCTTGCTGAGGGAACAGGAGGGTTTTTTTTCATCAGAATAGAGTACAGTTCTGCCTACTGGAGTCCAATGGTATCCTAGCAGGAATCACAGGGCTCTCCAGATCTGGTCAGCTGTCTGTGGATTTCCTCCTACAGAGGCCCAGCTGTGGTCTGGTGGCAGAGGAGACATGTTCTGTGTGCTTCTAACCCTGCTGCTCCTTCCAGCCAGGAGTCTGGTCAACATGCCAGGCCCCTCAGCTCTATTACAGTGATTCACACCTTATATGAAGTAGAAGCTAAAGTCCCTGTGGTGTCCACATGTCCTCAGCTGCCCAGTGACCTCCTTCCTTCCTCTCCTGATCCCTTACTCTCACAGTCAGCTCAGGCTCACTCTCATAGTCTTGGCTAGGCAGCCTCTGGCCCTGAGACATTTGCATTTGCCACAGCTTCTGTCTGAGATGCTCTTCTGAGTGTCTGGATGCTTTGCTTTATGACAGGATACTTCCTCGGGTGCCTTCTCTGCCACCTTGCCTCCTTGCAGCTTTGACCTCTCTCAGCCAAGGCTGATATTATGGGCATAATTGGGTGTGTCCTTGCTTATTATTTTCTGATGTTTAGCATTATACCAGTCAGATTTGGTGCTTTATAATGTTGGATGATGGATGGAACTGGTGGGAGACCACTATCTTCATCCGACTTATTGTCTCCCTGAGAATCTGATCTCCCTGCTCTTCCCAGCCCAGAGAGCACTTCCCCCAGGAAGTCTTCCCAGAACAGTTGAGTCCTGTCTCCCTCCAACCCACCTTTCCTTTACAATAGTGCCTGGGAAATTCTGTGCTTTCTAGAAGTTTTCCCTCACGGCCAGTGGCCTGTGTCCTGTTCAGTCCTATACTGTGTTGTTGTTTGTGAACAGGCCCCAGTAGCCCCAGGAAGGCAGGAGTGGCCTGGTGTGGCTCTGGGCCAGAGTCTGAGGGATGGATATAGCGGGGGTTGGGGGGCTAGGGGAGGCGTTGAGAAGTCTCCAGACAGTGGACTGAGGGGCTCTGAGAAAGTCAGTCACCCTGTGACAGCATTCCTACCCTGTTGCTCCGAGCTTTGTGACTATGAGTGGGTTTTTACCCGCCTGTTTCTGCCCATCTGGGATCCATTTGCTGGGCATGGGTATGTTTGGGCCTGTGCATGGGCAGCAAGGGCAGCAAGGGGCTATGAGGCTCCTTCAACCTGTAGTCCTCACACCACCAGTACCTCTGTTTCCAGCCTGCTTTCCTTTCTGTGGCTCCCCACTCCCAGCCTGCTAGTGAGGTGTGGCTATAGAGGCAGCCTGTGACTGACTGGGACTAGGGCCCAGGTTGTTCTCAGCCTTGAGCCTGGAAACGTAGGGGGCAGGGAATTTGTAATGAAGTGCACGTGTGTGGGAGGGCTCAGTGCCCTTGGCCTGCTGTTTCTGAGATTCCACAATAGGAACAGCCCTGGCTTCCTTGGTACTCCTGTGACTCTGTGGGATCTGGGAGCAGCTTTGCTCATCTGGTGGATCTTCTTGCCTGGCCTTCTCAGCTGTGTTTGGACTATGGCATGGATGGAAGCTGCTGGAGACTAGGCCTAGAGTACCGTCATCTACTCCAGGGCCATCCTAGCAGGCGCCCAGCTCATGCAAAAGGCCCAGAAAATTATAGACAGCAGGGCCAAGCTGGTGCTCTGGCTTCAGCCGGGGAGGAGTAGGGTTAAAACAGGACCTAGAAGTCTGGGCCTGACCAGATTTGCAGTCTTTGGTTGAGCTCACCGTGGGAAAATGGCTTGGCCCTTTATGCCTCAGTTTCCCTATCTGCAAACAGCGTAGAAGGCTTGTTTCAGGGTTGTTTTGAGGCTGCAGTGAGCTCATCTGTGGCTGTGGTCAGCATGGAGCTGGATGTTCCCTCAGCATTAGGAGATGTTACTGATTTTACTCTCATCTGCCCTTCAGCCACAGCTCTCAGCAGGCATTTGTGGGGCCATCTCTGTCAGGGGCAGTGCTAGAGAACAAGGCAGGCTCAGCCATCCCCTTGGGGGCCTAACAGAGTGGAGTGCATTAGCAGATAAAGGTGCGGCAGGGGAGGGGGCTTGCAGCTGGCGAGGGTGGGTGACAGCAGGCCTTGTGGGTGGGGCTCTGGTGGCCTGCCAAGCATCTGAGGAAAGTGGAGTCTGAAACAGTAGGGTCTCCAGGCTGCTCTGGAGGGGAGTTTGGGGCCATGGGTGGGAGAGAAGCTGCAAGAGACAGCTTTGCCCTTCTTGACCTCCTGGGCTCACTGAGAGGCAAGCAGGAAATGACCCCAGCCCTGTTGCCATGGTAGCCCTGGGGCCTGGGTAAGGTTGTTTCCATCCATCATAGGGCCCAACAGGGGAGGGGGGTCCTGCCTGGGAGTCAGAATTGTACCAGGGATCCCCACTGCCGGTTGGGCTGTCCCTGCCTCTGAGCATGTCCAGATGTGGACTAAATGGAAGCCACATGCTTGTCTGGGCTATGGAGAGGGGCTCTGATGGCTGTTTCTGCTGTCACTCAAAGGCTTTAGGAGGGTGCTGTTTCTTCTGGGCTGGCATAGCATTGGGAACTGCAGAAACAGCAGGAGGTGGCCTTCGCCTTGAAGAGGCTGTAAAAAAAAAGTCAGGCAGGAAGGGGCCCCTTCCACAGGGCAGGTGCCAGCTCTTACCTGTCACAGGCATCGTCCTCTGGGCACTAGTGTATTAACTCAGTGATTATTAAGCCCTTTTATCCCCACCAAAGCTCAAGAGGATTCCAGAGAGCTCTAGCTCTTTCCAGCCTGTGGATATGGTGACAGGAAAGGGCAGAGTCAGGGTCATCTTGAAGTCTGCATTGCTCTGTCCTGTGACCTGCTTCTGAGACATGGTCACCTTCACTGAGGCAGATGCTGAGCAAAAAGTACTGAGCAAAATCCAAGTCTGCTGTCAGGGAGCACTGAGTGGCCTGGGTTGCTGTCAGAGGCTCAGTAGTCACAGATGTGACTGCCTCAGTGAGGGGAGGCTGGACATGTGGTGGCAGTGCCCTGTGCCCATTTGGGGGGCTCTGACTTCTCTTGTGGGTCAGGGAGGCTTGCTAGAGTTGAGGAGTGTCTGTGTGTGGCCAATGGAGGGGTGTGAGAGGAGAGGCCCCAGGCAAGGGGAGTGTCTATAAAGTTCCTGCAGCCATTATGAATGAAATTTGGTTAAGAGAAGGTTCTCTGGCTGATATGAGGGTGCAGGGACAGGAGCAAAAACAGGACACCATGACTTGCTTAGGGTGGGGTGGGGTGCAGCTATAATCTGTTACTTACTTGGGAGACTGGGACAATGGGACTGCAAGATCAGGGCCAGCCAGGGCAATATATTGAGACCCTGTCTCAAGAGGGAAAGCCTACAGCAAAAGAGCATGGGATGTAGCTTAGTGGTAGAGTGTGGCTGGGATGTACAGGACTGTCTAGTCTTGGCAATCCATTTATCAAAAAAGTATGAGCCTGTCTTAGCCCACCTGTGAGTTGTCTCAGGAGTCACAAAGATGAAGGGCTGCGTATAAGTTGTCCCCTGCTGGAACTTGCTGCTCTGCTGATCCCGTTACCCCAACTACCAGCTCATAAGGCCTGGACGTAGGCAGTGCCAGGGCTGCTGGAGAGGTGGTGGTGCTGGGAGCAGCTTGGGCTCTGCAGCCTCTGCTGTCTTCAGCAAGGCCCTGTCTGCCCCTCATCAGCTGTAGTGAGTGTGCTAACCTTCCTGTCAGAGCTTTGGAGACACAGAGGACCTCGTGGTCTATGCTTCTGCCAGCATTGCTTACAAAGTATTTGAGACAAGGGTTGGAACTGTATGGACCATGTAGTTTGGTTCTTATGCCCTAAACAACAGTGTCACAGCTGTTCACACAGCATAGTAATGCCTGACTTTAATGCAGAGATGATTTAGAGCATACAGTGGCTGTGCAGAGGTCAGTCTGGCTCATGTGTGGGACTAGAACAACTGCTGTTTGGGGCTGGCTGTGCTGGGGCTTCCTGGATCCAGTGCCCTTAGGTTTCTTAGGGACAACTGAGCAGTATGATCTTGGTGCCTTGCCTCTGTTTTGCAGACCTGCCATCTTGGCCCTCATTGGTCTACAGAGCGTGCTAGTGATCGTTAGACATGAGAAGGCCTCCAGGAAACTGCACTTCTGCTTGGTGTTGTTGAGTGATAGGCTGGTATCACTATGCTGGGCTCACATACCATAGGCCAGCAACTGTGCAGGCAAAGATAGGGAGCCCTTCCCATGGGAAAGACTGTGGTTGCGGCTAACTCTCCATTTCAGCTATGGTGTTATCGCCAGTGGTTGGCAGTTGGATTTGGGCCTGTTACTCTGGGTCACTGTTAGAAGTATGAAGTGACAGTTCTGGGAGACATAAATATCCCATTTATGGAGTGGGAAGCTGTCATCCCAGGTCAAGTGGCTTTTACAAAGGTCATGCAGAGATGGTGGCTGTGAGAAGGGTGGACTTTAGTTCCCGTGGAGGACTCATATGTAGCTCAGATGGGTTTTCTAGGCTATATCCTCCCTATGTGCCTATGGACCTTTGGTGGGTTTCTTTAATTGGTTAGTTTTGTTTTGAGACAGATTTTCCCTTTATTACCTAATCTGGCTCCAAACATGTCGTCCTTCTGCCTCAGTTTCCCAAGTTCTGGAGTTATTTGCTTTCTGTAGCTGTGATAAACACCATGGTTAAAAGCAACTCGGGGAGGAAAGGGTTTATGTGGCTTATACTTCCAGGTCACAGTTCC